AGTGGCTGGTCTCTTCGCTTACTGTTGAGTCTATTAGCTAACGGGCTGGGTACATCAGGGATCTGTTCGAGGCAGATTGTTGCAGCACAACAGCTGACCTGCTGTAATGTTTTTGGCTTTCTTTTCGGAATGGCTTTTGTCACCCTGAAGAGAATTTAGTAACATACTTCACGAAGCAAACCAACTTTTCCTTCTCCTTTCACTCCAGTTCTTTCTCCCTGTTAGGAACTGAGTCCTGTTGAAGAGAAGGCTCTAATCCCTTAGCAGTAAGGGAGAAATCAGGTAAAATGAAAGCCTGTGAGGCTCTTCTCTGTAGGATGACATGTTGTAAAAATACAACTGTATTCTGAAAAGTGACTGTAGAGATGGCATCTTGGGAGTGAGTGGGGGAAGGTTATGTTTATTATCTGTTAATGACTTCCAGATCAAGTTTGCTCCGTTTGCAAGTAAAAAAACCCAACCCTTTTTAAACTGCCTTCTCTGCAGACTCAATTTGGGATTTAAAAATCATGCTGTGCTAATTTTAATCCAAGTATTACTGTCAGCAATAAAAAGGTTCTTCGGGGTATATTGTGCCTTTAGTTAAACTGTCCATCACTGGACTGTAAATGAATGTTAATTCTGTTGATGAGAAGCTTGTCAAAATCAGGATTTGTCTAGTCCTGGTTATTCTTGATTAAGTCTTCCTTAATTAAGTCTTATTAACTCTTTTTAAACACTTATGTCTGTTTAAATGGTTTCTGGACTTACCTACTGTGGAGGAATGTAAAAGGAAGAGCAATAAACCTCAGAGCTATTATTTTTGCATTGCTCATAAGGCTTGATGGGTGAGGTCATAGGAGTTATAAAAGAAGTCCTGCTGACATACTGACCATCTTGTTAGGTTTAAATTTCTCAAGGATTTGAGTATCTAGTGTTCATGTGTAACGCAAATGAGAAAAGTTTGTGGGGAGAAGCAGTATTTTAATTAAACTGAATGATGTCATTTGGAAAACGTCAGCTTTCAGACATGCAGGTCCTTCTTTAGATCCCATTGTAATCATAATGTTATCAGAGACAGAGCCAGCAATTCAGGAAATGTTGAGATGCATTTAAGTGTGGCCTCTGACGGTGCTTTTATGGCAGTGCTGCTGAGCTTGGTGGTTACAGCAAAGGGAAAAGGGGTGTCAGTGGTAATCCTGCACTCCTTCCTCTTTCCGACAGGTATCAGTGATTCAGATTGTACTCAAATTTTGTCAACCAAGACCTCGTTACTGACTTGTCAGGCTGCAGGGCTCAGCCATGTTCTGAGACGTGACTTTTCCACTGCTGCCCTCACTAGGCTGGCAAACTGGGCTGGATACTGCCTCTCCCTGTCTTGCGCAGCCTGGGACATTGGGATCCTTTGGGGTCAAGGTAGGAGGAGGAAGCGTTCATGTTCTTTGGCATCCTTTTCTCCTTTTTTCCTTCTCTGATCATCTGGCACCGTCTTTGATGACAGTAGCTTTTCTTTAGCCTCACCTTGTCGGTTACCAATCCTTTTCCACTCTGTCCGCTTTCTTCTTTCCAGGGAGAACGCTCCTGCGCAGCAGGAGAGCACCACAAGGATTTGAGATCACTCCTAGTTTTAATAAGCAATATAACTTCTGCCCTCAGTACCCCGTCAGAGGAGCTCTTCATCTTCTCTGTTTCTGGTGTGAGAGTGTTTCCTCCTAAGAGGTACCCTGCACCGGTGACATCTACATTTGTCACTTCTATTGATCAGCCTTTCAGGCCCTTGTCCGCCTGCTTGCTGCTGCATCTTTCCATGGAAGTATTTTTTCGTGCCTGTCACTCCTGCATGCAGTGGGAGATTTGCGTACAGCACACAGATGTTATTCTCAGATAGCGTGTCTCTGAACACCACGTTGTGAACAAAGTTAGATTATAACTCAGTTTGAGTCAGGACATTACTTTATCTGTTTTCTTTCCTAAATTCACATCATAGGGCTAAAGTGTTTCTACACTCGTTGGTTTCAGAAAGTCCTGAGCTATGTCTGAAAAACCTGAAAAGCCTTTTCAGTGATGTCTTCATTTGGTTTTATTGCTGAGACATGTGACTAGACACATCTCTGCAGAAGGGAATGACCACTTAAATGATGGGCCATGGAAAGGATTGCTATGAGGCAATCAAAATTATTTTCTTCATTGGTGATTAGACCTGCTCCAGGAAGAGTTTACTGCAACAAGGATGTGGCCAAAGAATTGTTCCACCTCGCATCTCTGCAGTTGCAGCTACCTGGAGCTCCATTCATGCTTTTCTGAAGCTCTGAATACAACGCCTCGTTTGCACTCCTTGAATCATTGCTTTGGTAAGAGAACTCTTGGACACACTTAGAAATTATTATTGAGTTTCTGGAGGGGAGTACTGCCTCCTCACTTACAGCGTGAAAAAGGACAAGTAAAAAAAGGGAAGAGTACTTTCCATTAACTACAGATTTCATATATGTTGCCCAAATATACGTTCACTGTCACAGATCTGTCTTTCTTTTTCTACAAGTCTCTCCTAAATGCTTCTGAAACTGTGAAGAACTGGGTATCCCTATGACTGTGCACACAGCAGGGCTTGAAAAAGGTGGATGATGCTACATAATCTGTGTGTACTGCTAAGGCAAAAAGAAAAGTCATGAGATGCAGGCTCCTGGAGTAGACGTCTGGCCATGAACCATCATACCTCAGTATGAAGTAACTTTTCTTCCCATTTGTATTCTAACATCTTTCTAAGAATTCAGATTAACTGATCTGGAAGTGCTTGGTACCTCCTTCCCCCTTTGGCTAATTTTCAGCAGTCTGGAACATTATTCTCACACGTATTCTTCTTGTGAGTATATAAATTGCTTTGAAGCCCTATGGGATAATTGTTATTGCTGGAAAATGTTTTTTGAATGGTGTTTGTCTGCCAGCATCAGGACTTGAGGAGGTTATTTCATCTTGGCTTTCATTTCAGTTCTATTTTAGCAGTTCTTTGTCTTCAACTCCATCATCTTCTCTGTGCACTGAGCTGCTGTGTTCAAAGACATTTTTTTGAAATAAAATTCTTCACTTTGTGGTTCTTATTCGATGATGTTATTTCTCATTTTAGGAGCTTTTGTATTTCTTTAAGGCAAATGAGGCATGTTAGTGGTTATTTGTAATTCTTTCTTGTTCAGTGGATTTCCTGTTATGCAAAAATGTAAAGCTTTTCTCGCTGTTCTTCCAAACTTTTGTTTTCCTGTCTTGATAGTTTTGTACATCTGTGTCTGCTTTATAACCTGTGGCTAAGATGTACTTGCCCAGTTGAGATCTGGCTTTGTCTTCATGGATGCCTGACAACTTACGGTAAAACTGCAAGTTAGAACTCTCTTGCTTGTTTGTCTCAAGACCCTCAAGAAGTGAACAACTTTCTTTTTCTTTAACAGCTTTTCTGAATGGACATGAGGGTACCGAAGATCTATCTAAAAAATTCAGCGTGTCCTGCTTACGTACTCCATTTGTCCAGTAATCACTTTTACTGAGTTGTTACTGTAACAGAAGATCTACTTTGTAGAACATAAGGCTTGCACTTGGACAACATGTGTGCAGATGTGTGCACTGGTGAAGTGTGATGTTTCTGTACGGCGCACAGGCAAAGCCCCATCAGCCTGCTTCCTCTTCAAACGGCGTGAAGTTGCGTACTCACGTGCCCGCGTTTTACAGCTTATTTTTCACGTCAGTAGGCAGGCGGGGTGGGGACAGGTGGGCAGAAGGATGTCGGTCTTGTGAGACTGGATATTTACTCTCTACTTTCTCCCACCCTGGGAATCTAGGATTATTAATAGTAGTCTTTTAAAAACATCTGAGATAGGCAGAGCTAAGGATCTGTGTTTTAGGGCTAGTATTAGTAATAGGTTGTCTAGTTTCCATACTGGTCGACAGATATAGATATAAAGAATAGTTTATTCTTTTGAGGTACAGAAAGTGGATTAAATAACCTTCTTAGCACCATTTTTCCTTAACGGACTCATTATCTGTAGTGAAATCTCTTTGCGTAGCATTTTGTCTGGAAAAAATTGTGGGAAATGTACTAAGGGGAGATTTGGTTTATTAACATTTCACTGCAAGTGCGACGTGTATCCTACAGTACCAAGAAAACGCTACACGATGAAAAGGGATGTCAGAAAAATAGGAAGACATCAATATTTATGTATTGCCAGTAAGTGAAACTGTATGATTTTTAAATTTTTGTTAGCAGAGGGTATAATTTGCAAAGATCTACTTGAAGATAGGAAGTATATGGCAGATGAAGAAATAAGTGAAGATTGTGAACATACAAGTGATACACCAAAGGAATCCAAAACCATAACAGAGGTTTGCTTTACATACTTCTGATATTAAAAGGAGCGTACTATGGGTAGCTCACTGACAAAAGCCATGTTTCTGTTAATATTTATGAACTATGCTACTAAAATACTCTACAGAGCAGAGTTGTCTACATGGTGGCAATTTCAGAATATAGAGGACTATGGAGAGAAAACAACAATACATGTTTCTCCATGTAATTGGAGAAAATAAACTGAAAAACAAGGGGATTTTTCTCTACTGATTTGCAGTTGCAGTAATTTTAGGTGTGATTTGTTTTAACAAAAAAAGTAGACAAAAAAAGTTAGACGTAAATGTAATCTTTGTTTGTTGTGTAGATTATACTATAAGTGGTTTTGAATAGTGCTGCATTTATATTGGACTTTTCCTTTTATAACCTGGATTTGCGCTGGGTTCTTTTTCAACGTTTTATATGATTTTTTTTCAACTCTCTACCATATTTTCATGCTTTCAACGTTCACAAAAGGAAACGCTTTAGCCTTAGATAAGAATTGATCAGTCAGATTAAGGTAAGAACATGATTGTAGTAAACTGCAGTTTCAAATGGGATTCGCTAGGTTCTTTCTTGATAAAAACTCTATTTATCACACCCCCTTGATTTTTTTTTTTTTTTTTTTTTT